TTGGAAATAAAGGAATAAAGGGATCTCCATGAACCCTGGACAGCTGGGTAGACCTGTCATTTTTTTAAGAGTCAGTCTCCATGAAGTAAATAAGCAGCCTGTACTTACCTACAAGAGACAACCTTGAGAAATTTCATCCTTTGTGTATTAAAAGCTTCATTGAAAAGCAGGATAGCAAGGGGTATGGTGCCCAGAAAAAGGATAAACCTTATTGAGTGAGAAGAGTGATGTGATAAAAGAAGAAATCAGAGCCATATCACCTGAGACAAACTGGAAATTATTGAAGGGTTTTAATGAGAGGAGTGAAATGATCTGGCTATTATTTAACAAAAACACTAGTTGCAATTAGGGAACACGCTATTGGCAAGGGTAGAAGGTGGCAGATAAATTAAAATAATCCTGGTGAAAATGATAGTAGGTGGGATCAAGGTGGGAATGGTTGAAGAGATGAGAAGTAGTTAGATCCTGCATATTTTTAAAGTAATACTCAAGACAATGTCATTATGGATTAGACGCAAGGTGCGAATAAAAGCAAGTATGTGGATTCTTGAGCAACTGAGAGAATGGAGCTGCTTTTAAAGTGTAAAAGGCTGTTTGTGGAGAAGATTTGTGTCAGGGACAACAATTTCATTCTTGCAGAGGTTACATTTTAAATGTTTATTACATACCCAGACAGAGTCATTATGCACACAGTTGGATATTGATTCTGGAACTCATATGGGAGGTTCAGGCTGCAGATATAAATTGGGAATCCGTGTTACTGAACTTTTTAAGGCCATGAGATTAGATGAGGTCAACAAGGAAGTGAGTATGAAGAAGAGAAGTAAACTAAGACCTGACCCCTGGGCCGCTCCAATTTTGAGAAGTTGGGGATAAAAGTAGAAGCCAGCAAATGAGAATGAGAAGAAATGAATAGTAATATTGAAAGAAAACCAAGAGAAAATGTTGCCATGCAAGGCTAGCCAATAATGTTTTAAGTGTTGAAGACAGGTCAAGAAAGATAAGGACTGAAAGTAAATACTGCTTATAGGACTGTAGAAGTCACTGTTGATTTTGATAAGCACAGCTATATTTGAGGGGTGGGAGCAAAAGCCTGACTGAAGTAGGCTTAGGAAAAAATGTGAGGAAATGAAAAAAGCGAGCACTATAGGTGCACAGTAAATAATTCCTGACTTTCCAGGAGGAAGAAAATTATTTCTCTCCTTTTTTCCTAGAATTTATTTAATTGCCTTGATAATCTGTCCCATATTCTTTTTCCCCCTAAATGGCTGTATCTACTTGAGAGACTTCTTATTGGAGATTGTGGAATTTGTTAAGTTCCTTGCCATTTATTCTATATTCTTAGTCCTCTGGTGCAAGGAGCCAAGAGATTATTAATATGTGGTTGTTTTAATATTGAAAATGGAGTAGTTTGTCTCTTTCAATGTTTTGCCCTCCAAAGTAACCAAATCATGTTTTTTTTGTTCATTTGGATGTTTTTGCTTCTTTAGTTTAGTTTTACTTTGGTCTCATTACTGAAAATGGAGCTTATGCCAAGATTTTCTTCCAAATATCCTGAATTTTAAATATAATGTTTAACTTGTAACTATAGGCTTTATAGAGATAAATAGCATTATATTATAGTATTAAATTATTATTTTTAATGCCACCTTGTTTCACGTGACCTACATTTTTGTACTTATTCACCAGTGATTACAGTGAATGATTTTTGAGAATTCCTATTTATATTACATAAAAAAAGAGTATTTGATGAAATATTTGATGCATGGGCCCACTAAAGAACAAAATATAATAATATTAATTTGCTTTTAGTTCTGTAACTCTAATTCAATCTGGAATATCAACATTATTAATATCCTTTCCTGCCACTAATCTCTTATTATCTTAGATTTGGATATTCATTTGTGTTCTTTCAATTAGAGACTCAAGTGGAGAATTTCTCTGTGTATCCTCTCATGAATCTGGAGACCTGAGTCTGGGTCCGATTCTGCTACATGTGGTGTAGCTTTGAACATAAAGCTATACATTTTGCTTCCTCATCGATACAAAAGTGTATGTTTTCACATTGAGAGAACAAAATACTGCAGGGTTTAAGAATGTGGACTTTGGAGACAGATATCTGGTTAGCAGCTCTGAAACCCCTTAAGTAGGACAAACTATGTAGAAGCAAACCAAAAATCCCATTAACAACAAACTGTTAAAGAAATAACAGACAGAACTTTTACATGTTATTATTAAAGATATGGGGAATTAGATTGTTTTCATGGATCTAATTTGACTTTTGGTTATCTTTTTCATTGGGTCACTTGTTTTTATAATGCAAATAATACATGATTTTCCTGGCTTCACAGTTGGCAGTAAAAATCAACAATAGAGCTGAATATAAAATATAAGCTTCTTTCATTGGTATGGAATTTTGCTTTTTGCTTTCTCCTCAACATCCATAAATTGTGTTTGTGTGTGTTTATTGGGCAAAGAGGACACATTATAAATTTTGTGACTTTTCATGGCATTATTAGTATGTACAGGATGTGACATAATGGCTTTTAGAATAATTAGATATAAAACAAAGGGATATGAAAAAGTCCTGTACAGAATGACCTGTGTGGATGAACTGTTTTAATTAGATCAAGGTCATTGGGCCAGAACCCCATGTGGACCAGTTAATTTCATTCAGTGTAAAAGTGATGTTTTCTAGTCATAGACTGTACCTTTTGTCCTGGTCAGCTGTGTCCTAAGGTATGTCACAGAGGGAAACCCCTAGAATAATACCCATGGCTCAGCACAAATTAATCACAACCACTGGATACAGAAAGAGCTCATCCATACTGATGGTGTCAGGAGCACATATGGTTATACATGAAGAAGAGTACATAATTCCAGGAAAAGCTACACATTATTTCAGTACTGTTGTCCTTAGTGCAGAGCAGGGTGTCATAAATATTCTTTGCCATGGATCACTTTGGCAATTTGCTCCCAAGTGAAAATTTAAATGAATAAAATAAACTATATAACCTTATGATGGAAATCTAATATATTGAAATAGAGTTATCAAAGTACTAAAAAAATAAGATTAATATTTTAATTAATGCTTTATGTAACATTACTTCACTGTGGGTTTATTAATGATCATAACTTAAAATTAATAAATTGCATTAATTATATTTCAAAATATATTTAATATTAATAATAATATGAAATGATAATACAATATATCGTGTTTTTTAAAACTAACATGAAGTGATAACACATCGTGATTTTTCTCGTACAGAGTCACCAGTACTTACAAACATCACTGTGATTTGGAAGGCAGCTATGCTCACCATTATACCACCAACGCTCGCAACATCACTGTGATTTGTTACCTACCCTTCTAATTGATGAAATGTTAAATTACAATTAGAAGAAAGTGCAAAATTATCTTCTAGAGGCCCAAGTTCTTGCCTCTGGATTGAGCAGAGACATCTGTCTGAACTACTTGTAAACTTTCATGGCCAAAATGTCACTATTTCATCTAGGAAAGCACTCCAGGATTTAGTATAAAGTATTTAACTCTTACACTGAGTTGATTTCAAAATACAATTATTGCAACAATGGGGAAAACACATCAATAAAAATTTATGACAGAATTTGAATCTATTTCAGTAAATGTATATACTATTGAATTATGTTAATGATTTCTCCTAAAGTTTGGAGGAGATTTTCTAGAAGTCAATTGTGATGAAATCTTCCCTTAAATAAAACTTTTGGATTGCTATGTAGTAAAATAATTTAAAAAAAATCAAGAGATGGTGTTTCTCCATTCACAAATGACCATGTGAAGATTCCCTAAGAAAACTTATTGAAATATAAATTTACATCATTTATTAAAAAACTGAAGAAAAAATATATTCCTAATGTAAATATTACATTTACTTGAATGACATTTATTGTTAAATATATTTGAAATTCTATAGGTACTTAAATATTTCATTGGAATTATTTCATGATAATTATTCTTTGTTTCTTTTTTTTTTAAGATTTTATTGGGGAATTGGGGGAGAGGAACAGCGTTGGGGAATCGGGGAAGGGGAACAGACAAGTTGCTATTGTTTTGTTATTCAGTCTAGTTGTGGAGGATGTCACTTCACTGGCCCATGTTGGTATTATCATTGCGCTCTTCCTGGGTGAGGCAGTTGATCACCGGCCATTGGATAGCCACCCACGGCGGCTGCAGATCACTCACACTGGCTACCAGCCACTCATGGTAGTTACGGCAGCCCACTGCAGCCTCACTGCAGCCTACACCGTCGCCGGCAACTCATGGCAGCCTAGCTCCAGGTTGAGCTGTTGTTCACCATCTTAGCTGTAGAGGACACAGCGTCACTGGCCCTCATGTGGGATCCTAATGGAGGCCCTGCTGCTCAGAGCTGGTGTCCCAAGCCAGCTCTTAACCAACGCGCCACTCGCCCGGCCCTATACTTTGTTTCTTATATGATGCTTTTGAGGATTTTCCAAATGTAGCCTTAATCTATTAATTTTATAAAAAATTGTGAATTATTTGGGTAGTTAATTATTAGTGTGGAATGAGAAAACATGAAAGAGACAAAAATAAGTATAACGTTTTATTTGAGTTGTGAGTCTTTTTCTCTGTCTTTTATTTAAATATTTTATCAGCAATTTACTCAAATATCTTCACTTCTCAATTTTCTAACTGTATTTAAGCACAGTTATCTCTTCTAACAATATATAGTGGCAGCTACATAATTTATTGCAGTGATTATTATTATTATTTTTAAAATATTCCTTGGGTTTGAGGACGGGAATCCAAAACAATGATGGAAGCTGTCTGGACTTCTATTTTCTCATTTATGTTTTCTAACTCCCTCTAATTTTAAAGCATTTATTTTTTTTCTGCAATGATATCGGTTCAAAAGAGATTTCCTACATAGAGTATGAAAAGGAACACTCCAAAGACACTGCATCACATACAATTTTCACCTTTTTTTATTCTTTTCTAGGCTGAACAGGACAACGGTCATCCTCTTCCAGCCTTTGCCAGCCTCCATATTGAAATACTAGATGTGAACAATCAGAACCCGTATTTCACAATGCCCAGTTATCAAGGCTATATCCTGGAATCTGCCCCAGTGGGATCAACTATTTGTGACAGTGTAAATTTGACCAGTCCTCTACAAATCATGGTTCTAGACAAGGATGTAGAAGATGTAAGTTAAATATAAATGTAATTCTTGTTTTGTTAACACTTCTCTTGTTATATTTATGTCAATAGGAAATCTTACAAAGACGTGGTGACATGAGCTATAGATTAGAGAAGAAGTCCATGTAAATGAGGGTCTTAGGGTATTAATTTAATTAAATATCAAGTATATTACTTGAAAAGTATGTTTGAAGTCAGCACCTGTTCTTTTTCAGTTTATAAATATTCAGTATAAGGAAGAAAATGAATGTTTCACTGACAGCTAAATTACCAGGGCAATCTTATTTATTAATATGGGTTGAAAACAGTTTATATAATTGCTGATAGGAAAAAATAATGGCATTAAACAATGCATATAAAAAGTCACTATAGCAGCCCTGGCATGGGATTTAGGGGACTTTTCTGATAGTATGATATTCGAGAAAAAAACATTTAGGGTCAGCTGACCCACTTACACTTCTGCCAGTGGCTATATTGATTACAACACCCTTTGTGACAGTGGCTGTAAGGAATAGTAGACAAGAAAATCTATATCAGGTTATAGAGGTTAGTCAAGTCCTCCCAGGAAATGAATGGAAAAAGAATTGGAGCTGGAAGACTTTGGAATCATGCAATAAAAAAGTGGAGATGAATCTGAAGCCATGGTAGCCAAGTTTATAGACATAATGAAGAAAACCTATCATCAGTGGTAGAGGATGGACTCTCATATACACACACAGAAGAGTCCTGTTTTTTAGGTTATTAGGCCCCCAAAGCTATACTAATCCTAGCTTTTTCTTTGATTTTGTGACTAAATATGCATATCCCAAAGTGTATTTTTTTAATGTGCTTTAAGTTTGATTCCTGTCACCTGCAACAGAAAGAGTCTTGATTCAGCAGTTTCTCCCTCTTCAATAACATTGTTCTATAGAACTTTTTTTGTTCTATAGAAAATAAAAATGTCTGTAGCTATGCTGCCCTATGTGGTAGCATATGTGGCTATGGAGCACTTGAAATGTAACTAGACTGAATACATATTTTTTAATATTTTGTTTAAATTTAATCAGTTTAGATTTTAATAGTTACATGTCACTACCTGGACAGCATCTCTAGAATGCTCCAGAATCTCATTACATAGAGCTTTGTCATCAGTTTAGTAAATTAAGAGTACTTTCAGATTTTTTTCTCCTGGAAAACATTTTGTTAAAATTGTGTTCTAAGGGACATTGTAAAGGACATTGGGACTCACAAGGTATTGGGGAAGTAGGGTGGCAAGAACTCCTGGGTCTAAAACCTTTAGGAATCCTTACCTAGAATTCTATTCTTGGAGACTTAATGCCAGTTCACCTGTCAAATGCTCCAAGCTGTTCCCAGGGGTGGGGCAGCATGTTGTGGTCCTTAGGAGTTTGTGCTTTGGGTTTGACTCCTGGTTGCACCATGCAATAGCTGTGTAATACTGTGTGTGAGACTCAAATTCACCAGTCTCCCTTTCTACTCAATCTACCTGTGGCTGAAAAGGAATTGTGACTGCGATCACTGCTGCCTTGGCCTGCTCCTTCAGTTGAGGCTGGTGGGGATGGAGATAGAGTGAGAATCACCCTTAGATGATGTCATTAATATGAACAGTGGAGTGGTTAATATAGTTTGTAAAAATGTCAAGCAATTAAACACACTGTATCTGGCTATTTGCTTTTTATTTAGGCCCATCCTTTATCTAAGATTATCTATAGTGAATGATTGTCATTAAGTGCCAGAAAGTGAACAAGTATGTCTGATACCCTAATGACAAAGTTTTCTAAAATATCATATATACCCTCTATATCTCTATTATTTAAGTGAGCTCATAAATGAGGATACCTAACATCTATGTCAATATTTCTAATAATATCGAATTACTTATTTCACAATATAGCCCATTCCATGGTTGAGCAACTAATTCTTAGAAGGCTCTTCATCATACTTAGTAGAAAACAGCCTTCTTATAACTCATCCATTATTCCTTATATCTTCCATTTGCCAGAATAAATCTATGAAACAGTCATTAATATGTTTGAAGATGGATTTATGCCCTTCAGAATCACCTCTTTTTCCAGGCCAAGCACTCTCTATTTTTAGAAAGTAAAATATGTTCATTCCTAGGTTATTTATAGATGAAAATTCACAAAATACAACTTCAAGCCCCTTTTCTTTCACAGGCAAGAATTTTACGGTATTGTAAATTCTTGCTGATTTTAAGTCAGAGTTAGTGAAATTACTCAGAATAGGGATAAAGGATTTAAGACTATAGACAGCATGTTACTTCATACTGGTATCAGCGACAAAAATGGAGAGCCAGCATCAGGCAGAAAACGAGACGTTGTCACTGCAGGAATCGGTTCTCCTGAGATGCTTCAAGAACAGCCATGCCAAAGGGCAAATGCAAAAAGGAGGTCAGACTTGATTTTATTTGTCCAAAAATTAAGTGGTGTGTCTGCCTTTAAATCAGTGGAAAGTAAGGCAATGTTTTAAGGAGAAGTGGTAGGGATTGATGAGTTTTGGTGTGATTAGCAGCGTAGATTTTAAGGATCCTTCTGATAAAAAAAGTAAAAATATTTTTAGTAATGTTATTTTTATACAGATATACAGATATTAACATATACATATATAAAATATATGTCAATTGCATTTACATATTTTTCAACTACTTTTACCTTGTAGTTTCAAAATAGTCTAGTACATAGTTAAAGAAGGTAATGTGCAAAATTTTTATGAGTCATGTCTGAGACCTCCAGAATTTCAGGGGCTGAATGACTAAAAGTTGATTATTGAATGATGGTTTAAAAAAAATAATGGGGGATAATAACCAACAATAGTTACACATTGACTTGTAGAAAGCCATTGATTTACTTACAATTCCATGTCAGTTCACATCCCTATATAGAGTATTGCTGGTTCAGAATAAAGATATCTTTGAAATTTAATACAATACAATCTTAAAAATGCAATGTACCTATATGCTTTATAAATATTATTATGCTATCATATGTAAGCTATGATATGTCAGAATAGTAAGAAAAACATACCTTCTAAAATATTATTTTTGTTTTTATGTTTGTTTTACTAGTGTACACTTGTATGTCATAGCTACGTGTGTGGTCCTTTATATTTACATTATTTTTCGTGTTTAATTTGCACATAGGTTCCACCTGGTGGAGTTCCTGTAGGTACTAGGTGTTGATTTTGTGTTTGTTCTTTTGTTAATTGCTGTGGTTCAATTTCTTGTTCTTTTTCTTTTCCCTTAAAACAAGTAGGCAGTTACTCATTATTACCTGTAAAGGTATCTATAACTATAACTATATAAGTATATATATATATATATATATATATATATAATATATATGATTCAAATGTATTTACATTATAGTAGAACAAAATCATGTAGAACCCAAATTGCATGTAATTTAAGCAGATTATTTATTATTTTTTATGTAGTCCATGACAAACATTAATAATTCATCACTGCATTCTTTATGATAGAGTATAAGCTTGAAGTACTCTTTTGAATAGGTGCTTCAGACAATTGTCAATTCATTCAAACTGGCAGATGAGATTAATTTTTTTGTAATTCCATGTTATGCTTTGTAACTTATATGTATGCTCATAAGTATGCATATGTATATATATATACATTTCTGTATTGTATGTGCATATCTATGAGGATGCATATAATCCTGTGTGCGTGTGTGTGATATCATAGCTTGATTCCCATTAGAAACCCAAAATTGATCTCAAATGCAATGTTCTAATGTATTTAAAATGTCATGTTTGAATGCATTTCTTCTATGTGATGGCAGTTTAAAATTTTATATTCATACATTTGTCAACCATTGCATTTGTATATATGTTTACTTTTCATTCATTTTTTTTCTGTGCTGTGAGTGAATAGCAGGGCTTTTATTACCCTTCCAGAAAATAATCCACAAGTCAGTGAAACCATATTTCTTACTTTTGTTAAATACCAAATGTATACTTTAGCATAAAATAATATCACCTTATGTCAATGGGGAAAAATAACATTTGTAATGATCCCTCTGTGTACATATTGATACAGCAAACTAATTTTTATTTTAAATAAATTTTTAGACACAAGGACAACATAAATTGCACTGTCCCTATCAGAACATTAAGCCAGAGCATTATCTGTTACACTTGTTTTACACTTGTATTATACCACACCTGAAACTAGCATTATGTCTACAAATAAATATAAAATTTTAAATTTGAGTATAATTGGCTGAACATTTCCCAGTCTGCCTCCTTAAATTTTTGTACTTAAAGAAATACAGAGATATTTACCAATAGCATCTTTGTATGCTGTTCATAAACATTAAAAGCTTACTATTTTAAAAAATCATAGACTTAAAAAGCTATATTTTAATCAGAGATTAACTATGCAGAACAGATTAGAATGTGCTTAATATGCGATGTACAATGCTAGCTTTATGTATTACACTATCTTCCTTACAGAAAACAAATAAGCTACAGTTCTGGGAAATGCTATTTTAGTCTCTAGCTAGGTATTATAAAAGGACGCACGAGGTAGAGACAATTAAATTATCAAAAGTCTTTAATATTTCTGGTTATCAAATATGAGAGAGTCTGTTTCTGGAGTCCAGGTGTTTATGTCATTTTCAAATGGGAAGCATTTCAAAAAGAAAACCTTACCGCTTTCATAAATTGGCAAAATGAATGGTGTTGTTCATGACACAACCATATAAGACTACAGTCATGTATAAAGACACTGGTTCACAACTCAACACTCATTGCAGTATTGCCTTGTCACAATACCTGACATAAAAAAAAATGCTTACAACATGTGCTGTGTGAATGGAAATATCTATCAAATTTACTAGTGGAACCTACAGGTGAATGGAAGAAAATAAGTTCAGAGAGAGTTAGTTATAAAGAAAGTAGAGAATGACTGAAGGATTTGAATAAAGGAAAAAAGTAAATATTTTGTAAGCAAGTTACATCGCAAAACTTATTCAGTTTGGATTACTATTAGTGCAAAGGTATGAGTAAAGGAAACTCTGTTCATTAGCGCAGTTGTTGGTACATGCAGAGAATAAAAAAAAACACTATGAATTTGGAAATGTAGTAAATAGGTATAATAAAATCAATGATAAACACTAAAATATAGCATTGATGCTTATTTAGTTTTTATTAATTGAAACTGCATGCTAATGAACATTTTTGATCATTTAAAATAATTTAGTTTTACTACAGTTAACTCTACAGTATAACAAAATAAGAAGAATCCTCAAAATGTGGTTCAAAATATGCTTAGTTGTAAATACTTTGAACTTACTTTTAAAAATAAAGAATTTAACTTTTTATTAACTAACATATTTGATTAATCAAAATACCCAGATTTGTAGTCATGCTAAACAATTTGAGAAATGAGATTTTAATAAAAACATGTGAAAATATTGTCAATCTTCTTGACTTTCTACGTCTCTTAACAACTTTGATTATTTTGTATTAACTAGACCAATAAAAATTATTATCTGTAATATTAGTTTTTATTGTTTCAGGGTAAATATAGCACACAGATCTTATATCAAAACCATGGATATAGAAGCTACCATGATATAGCTAAGTAATACCTCATAAGGAGATATTATTCACACACTACTTGTATCAGATTCAAATAAAACTATGCATTTCAAAGTTATTTGAAATAAACTCATATTGGAGCTTTAGATGTATAAATTATCTTGTAGATCAAATTCTGCCCACTTTTTAATGTAGTAGTACGCATTCCAATTTCTCACTTTTATGTGGAAATTTTTAGAATACAAGTTTTATTATTTTTTTTGCAAATTATCATGTGTTTAACAAATCCCAGTCTCTCTACTCTGCCCTCAGCCCTTGATACCACATTTAGAAAATTAATCTATGATATTAAACCACATTCACATCATACTATACACAGTAATTTAAAAGTTGCCATAATCCCAGGCCAGCTGAGTGGCTCAGCTGGTTAAGAGCTTGCTCAAGAGTGTGAGCTCTGTGCAACAGCAGTTTGAGTCCTGGCGCAAGTTGAGCTGCTGCTTGAGCTGTCAACAGGTGGCAGGGGAAAAAAAAAAATCACCATAATCTCTAAAAAACCTTACCTCCTGTACCATCCCTTTTGCTATTTTGTTTCATAGCTTTGTTCATAAGCCCACTCTTTTACAATATCCCACTTTTATTTGTCCCACCTGCTTTCCTGTGCCACTATGCAGACCCCAATTTCAAGCCACCCTATGTTACGTCTCTGTTCTTTCTCTGCACTGCAGAGATTAATGCTTTGTCTTTCAGAGATGACAATAAGAGTGTGAAGGGTTCCCACTGCTCAGTAATTATCTCTATTTTGAACGTTTGCAATCACTTCCTCATTATGTGTATATAATTTTTGTTAATGCTTTTATAAGACACATACGGTTAATTCAAATATTTCCAATCTAATCATCTGAAATATTTTAATTCAAATAAATGTTTCACCTTGGAGAATCTGAAAAGCATTAAAATATGAAAGAGCAGGCATGATAATTATAGGTAATGAGTTATACACAGCTTATTTTATTTTTATTTTACATTGAACACAGTAACAAGATAGTAATATGCATATATGCAGTTTATTATTACAAATGAAGTAATTGTAAAATTCTACAGCTAAAATCCTTGGCTCCAATTTCCTTTATTTTTCGCGTTTATTTCTTCTTTGTTGAGCCCAATGAAGTTTTGAGAATATTGATACTAAGTAACCAACAAGAAAAAAGTTAATTGGATTGTTTTCTATTCCATCCTGCTTACTATTTTTCCTTTTATTCACATTAATAATACTAGTACTTATTTCAGTATTGTGTTTTCCACACAATGAGTCCCTGCCTTTAGCTTAATTATGAGTAAATATTTAGTGAAATCTTTACTTCCTTTAGGAAACCACAGTATAATAATGCATGTTTCTGTAATAAATTTGAAACATTCATTTTTAGGCAGTGAACTAATAGTTGCATTATTTAGTCTATGTTTTAAATAATGGCTTTTTTTCCCTCCAAAGACGAAAGATCCAGAGCTTTTCATTTACCTCCACGATTATGCATCAGTCTTCACTGTCACGCCGACTGGTATCATTCGCTACCTCACCTTGCTCCAACCAGTGGACAGAGAAGAACAACAAACTTACATTTTTACGGTAAAGAGACCATATATATAACAGAAACAGATATCTGTTTAAACCTGAAAAGTTCAATCACTTGGGAGGAAAAATGCAATATTTTCAAGGAATACCACAGAGAAGATCAATAATAAAATAATTATTCACGTGGCTAGGTCCTTTTCCTGTCATAAGTTTGTATAGCTGTGTTATCTATCATTCTTTCCAGAAGACAAAATTTAATATTCAAGATGATAAAAAAATGGGGATTTCATTTTTCACCATACACTCATGATTGACTTCCATTGGATATTATGAACTGGAATCCACAAAGTAAACAATTATTTTATTTTCTAAACTTTATTTTATTATATTTTATTGTTATTCATTTTTATTTTTGTCATAGGGTTAAGCCCGTGGTTCTCAACTGGCGATGATCCCTGTGCCTCCCTCCCCAACCCATCTCCTTCCTTCTCTTGAGAACAGTTAGCAATGTCTGGAGACATTTTTTGTTGTCACTACCGTGAGGATGTGCTATTGGAATCTGATGGGTTGCCATCAAGGAAGTTGCTTAACATCTTATAATAATCTTATAATACACTGGACAGCCCCCCATCCAAAGAATTATTTGGCTCAAAAAGTCATAGTACTGAGATGGAAAATCTTAGGTTAATCAAGAATACAAAAGAAAGATAAAGCTGTGAATCCAAATTTTTGAACTTCAGAGATAGGAGAAAACAGAGCTGATAGAAACGTACTGATTGTAGGATGTAGATAGTTCTTTCTGGTGAAACCTGCATAGCAGAAGACCTTAAATCAGAGCTTCCAAGAAAGCCTAAAGTGACAGTTAGAACCTTGATACAAAGTTTGAAAAAAATTCAGAATGAGGAAGTTGTGTTGTGGCACTGACTTTTTTTTAGACTTTATTAAAATGTTAATGCAATAATTAAGATATCACTATGAACTAATGCCAATGAGTCCTTTAAAAATTGCTATTTTGTGAATTTCAAGAAAAAGATATTACATATCTAGAGCACCTACTTTCTTGACGAATATAAGTATGTTGGCTATAGAAGCAACTGTTGCTAAGAAAATTCCTGAAATGTAAGAGTCATTGTGTACTGTTTATGTTTGCATGGCTTCTCTATTAAATATGTTTTTCTACCCTCAAAGATTACGGCCTTTGATGGTGTGCAAGAAAGTGAGCCAGTTTTTGTCAATATTCGGATAATGGATGCAAATGATAACACCCCAACCTTCCCTGAAGTGTCCTATGATGTCTATGTTTATACAGACATGAGCCCTGGAGACAGTGTCATACAGGTAACTACCTATATAATATGAGGACACACTCCAAGCAGCACTGGTTAAGATAGTACTTAAAAAATAAAAATGAATTTTAGACTTATTGTATGGTATGCTTTAGCTGAAAAAGCTTTAAATATGTGTTTACTCTTCAAATAAAAGTATATTAATGTGTATTTTAAAGTAAAATAAACTAGGTATTAAATGAAAACATAGTCATTTGGCCTGCTTATACTTGATTATTACAATTTAGCATACAGAATATATTTAAGTAATTAATGTAATGAATATATTTAATATACTAATTTCAAGTATTAGACATGCAGAGTAAAAGTTCAAATTATATTGAATTATTGTAGAAATGGGTTGAAATTCCCATGATGATAAATACAAAGGGATGCATTAATAAATTGGCAGAAAATGCTATTATACGTTGGTTACCTGGACATAAAATGGAATCATGATAGCAGGGAATATTATTAGGTAGTAAATGGTATCTTGGAAAACACAGAAATCTGGCAAAATCTTTATCCTTGCTGTTTTATTTTTATCATTAACTGTACTTACTACATTTAAATAAATTGTAAGTTATTTCAAATGTATAGCTATTGTATCCTGAGTATTCTGAATATTAATCATAAGGATGTAATAATATTTTCCCTTGAGGAGTTTTAGAAATCTGGAGAATGTTTGACTATAATACTTTCCAAACAGGCAATACATCAAAATCACTTAGGGATTCTCTTCAGCTTTCCTGGATCTAAAACTCTATGAGCAATACATAGGTAATCAATATTAAAAGCAAAACAAAACAAAACAAAACTCCAAGGTTTTCAGTAACGACTACTGATGGAGATATTTCTCTAAATCTGAGAGTCAGACCTAATTTCAAGTTGCTCTTGTCAGGCCAGGAAAGCCATGGTTCTGTATACTTTTTAGAGTATTTGAATGGCTTCAAATTTTATATATAACATATATTATATAATAATAATATTAATATTTATTAATGTGATGTGTATGTAATCTATAATATTTAATAGTATAATATAAAATAAATAATGAATGTATATGTCTGTATATGTTAGTATTAGATAAATGGCTCAGCATATTTAAAAAATAGTCCAAATGCCTCAAGAATATACCTAAGTCTTTTTTCCCCTCTTTTTGTGAATTTATTGGGGTGGCGATGGTTAGTAAAATTACATATGTTTCAAGTATACAATTCTATTGTATAATACATCATCTATATATCGCATTGTGTGTTCACCACCCAGAGTCATTTCTCTTTCCATCACCATATATTTGACCCTTTACCTTCTTTCGTCATCCCCTCTTCCCCCTTACCCTGTGGAAACCACTAAACTCTTGTCTGTGTCTATGAGTTTTTGTTTCTTTATATGCCTTGTTGCTTTCAGTTTTATATCCCACATATGAGTGAAGTCATATGGTTCTTGACATTTTCTGTCTGACTTATTTTGCTTAGCATGATAATCTCAAGATCTATCCATGTTGTCACAAATGGCATTATTTCATCTTTACTTAGGGCTGAGTAATATTCCATTGTGTATATGTACTGCATCTTCTCCATCCAATCGTCTATCAAAGGATGCTTTGGTTATTTCCATGTCTTAGCCACTGAAAATAAAGCTGCAGTGAACTTTGGAGTACATATATATTTACAGATTCTTTGGGTAGATACCCAGGAGAGGGATTGCTGGGTCATATGCTAATTCTATTTTTAATTTTTTGAGGAACCTCCACACTGCCTTCCATAGTGGCTGTATCAATTTACATTCTTACCAACAGTGTATGAGGGTTCCTTTTACTCCACATCCTCTCCAATATTTTTTATTACTTGTCTTGTTGATGATAACCATTCTAAAAGGTTGAAATGATATCACATTTGTGGTTTTGATTTTCATTTCCTTAATAGCCAGTGAAGTTGGGCAACTTTTTTTCATATATCTGTTGGCCATTTGTATGTCTTTTTGAAAGAAGTGTCTATTCAGGTCCTCTGCCCACTTTTTTAATTGGATTGTTTGTCTTTTTGTTTTTGAGTTGTATGAATTCCTTATAAGGAATATACTTAAGTTATGTTATGGCTCTTGTTTTTTGTCTCTCCAGCTTCATCTTGGGCACTCTATTCCTATATGTATGCTTCAGTCCTACTGAACCATCTCTAGAATGTGTTCTTTCTCATTTTTTCATGTTATCTCATTTACCTCTTTCCCTTCTATTTATGGCTTGATTACTTTCTCTTATCCTTTAGTTTATTTTTCTAAGGAAGCCTTTCTTCATAGTGTCAGTAGCTAGTTCTTAGTAATTCTTACTTAATAGTTAATGTTCTCACTATCCACCAGTAACACAGTAGTTTGTATCCAAGATACTGTGATACAGTCATGTATCCTCATTGGTGTGAGATGTGTGGGAAGAAATACTTAACAATATGCCTCATGGCTTTTGTACACTGTTTTTTGTTAACCAAGGACACTCTTCTCACCTCAGATTTTGCAAGAGTAACTCACTTTCATCATACAGGACCCAGTTCAAAATGTCACCTCCTCAGAGAGAACTTCCCTAGAAGTTTACTTTCAATAGCCTCCCAGCACACACACACACACACACACACACACACAAACACACACACGCACGCACACACACATGCATGCACTCACACTCACACTCACACACTCATTCTATTTAACTTACCCTCTCTCATCATGTCATAGGACTATGACGATCTAAATTATTTTTTTCTTTTACCCGCCTTAAGCTGAAAACTCCAAGACATCAGTGGCTTTGTTTCTTGTTTTCCAGGATGTGCCAGACATATTAGTCATGCAGTAAATATTTATTTAAAGGATGAATTATTATAAAATTTTCATCATTAATTGTTAATATAAATTAGAAATATTTCAGTACTGTCCATGTTTTATTTATTGCATAAAGATATGCTTTGTTGAATCATATAGAAAGGGTGACATGATAGCCTTGGCACTGACAATTCACCTGAAAGTGTATCTCCTGTGTAAATATCCTCTGCTTCGTGTGTGGTGGTGGGAAAAGCTTTCCAACAGCCACAGTACATTTCATTCATTGGGTATGACGTTTGTGATATTGTTAAAATACACCTCTTTACACATTTGTCTTGAGAGTAAATATGTAATTAGTTCATTTCTGCATCCATAGCATCTGTATTCATAGTGTCCGACATATGCATATAGGAGAGGCTTAAACAGTAGATGCTGTATAAGTGTATAAGGATAAAAGAAAGGAAGACTTGCAGACAAGTAGACATATGTGAATGGGAAGGTGTAAGAGCACTGATCTTAATAGTAGTCCCCATTTATTTGTGGTTTAGCTTTCTGGAATTTCAGTTACCTGCAGTCAACCACAGTATGGAAACATGAAATAGAAAATTCCGTAAATAAACAATTCACGCTGTTTGAGTATCCTGATGAAATCTTGCACCATCTCACTGTGTCTTGCCCAGGACATGAACCATCTTTTTGTTCAGCATGTTCACGCTGTATATGCTACCCATCTGTTAGTTACTTAGTAGCCATCTGGGTTATCAGACCGATTGTTGTGGTATCACAGAGCTTATGTTTAACTCTTATTTTACTTTATAATGACCCCAATGCACAAGAGTAGTGATGCTGGCAATTCAGACATACCAAAGAGAAGCCATAAAGCACTTCTTTTAAGTGAAAAGGTTAAAGCTCTTGAATTAATAAAGAAAAAAATGTTATGCTGAGGTTGCTAAGATCTATGGTAAGAACAAATCTGTGAAATTGTGAAGAAGGAAAAATAAATCTGGGTTAGTCTTGCTGTTAAACCTGTACTGCAAAATTATGGACACAACTTGTGACAAATGCTTAGGATGGAAAAAGCATAAAATTTGTGTGTGGAAGACATGGCCAGACATTTTTCGATTAACAGCAACATGTTGTGTCAGAAAACATTGAGCTATGTAAAGACTCCAGCAAGGGATCCCCTAAAATGAGTGACACAAAGCCATTTACTGCAAGTAAGGGGTGGTTACACAGGTTCTGAAATAGTTTCAGATTGAAAAATATAAAAATTACTGGAAACTCTGTGTTTGCAGACAAAAAAACTACTGCCACATTTCTGACAGAGTTGACAAACTTGATTAGGGTTCCATACTATCTGAGGTTTTGGACATCTACTGGGAGGGGTCTTATAACAGATCCCTCACAGATAAGGGTGGATTACTGTATATCTAGTCAATTGATGGACTCAGAGAACTACATTTATCTTTACTGTAGCACTCTCTCATAGGAAACAAAATTGTACAGTTCACACAGATAAAGGATTGACAGTTATTGTCATGTTCTTAATCTTAATTTAATTAAACTTGATTCTCATCTCTATACTAACATAATCAGAAATAAAGGTAAGTTTATACAGATAAACAGCCAGCAGGGAACTGGATAGTATAACTAAGAAAATGGTAGCAATTATGTGGTGGGACTGCGTCTCAAAAAATGTTTGCTTTAGGGGATCAAAAGCTTATTTCTGGCATTTGTAGGCTACAAAAGTTAATTTCCCTTTTGTATCTCTTTATAAAACAGATGGTGCCTTGCCTTTAAAGATTCTCATTTTATATATTTCCCTGAACTATGCCTATTAAGAAGATGGAGTATTGTTTGTGTCAATATGCCTCTAATTTAAAAAATATTTAATGCCAAGAAATAGAGTTTTATAATTAGTCTTTTTAATGTTATTTCTGGTATGTGGTAAAAGAGTGGTCTGGCTATAAAACATCCTCCAAGGACCTTGAAATAACAGAATATAAATTTCTCATTGAAAGACAACACTTAAACTAAAATGATGCAAAACTACTTGTATGATCTGCACATTGCCTTTTAAGGGTCATAAACTAGGTTCTTAGGCCCCACCCACCCCTAACCCTCCATCAACCCTACCTTTCCCTATTAACCCAACAGAATATCAATAAGTTTCCTTTTTGGTTAGTAAACTGGTGTCAAAAACAG